CAGGCCTCATAGATACTAAAATGCTGGTTTCAAAGCCGGGCTCAGTGGCTCATGCCTGTAATCCCAGTACTTTGGTAGGCCAAGGGGAGAGGATCGCTTGAGCCCGGGAGTTTAAGACCAAGGCCCACCAGCAACTCAGATCACCACTACTCAGAAAGGAGGCCCTCGAGGGGCAGTGGGTGGGCCGCTGTTTTTCACCGCAAAAAAGCCGTGAATTGCTAAAACCCGGGGACGGGGTTTCACACACAGTTTGAAGCGCAAAGCTGTGGCTTCTTATTTACCTCGGGACGGGGTTTCACACACAGCTTGAAGTGTAAAGCTGTGGCTTCTTATTTACCATGATATCTCAAGAGTTCTGAACCTTTACTGTCACCAATTGGGACAGTAAGTATTTATGCCAGTGCCCTGATGTTCAACAAACAGGTGTGAATGAGGCTCCGACGTAATTGACAGGTGCCAACTGCTCTACCACTTCTCTGTAACAGGAGCACAGTGCTTTAGCAATAAAAGAGCGCTTCAGGTCTCAGTAGAACATTCTAACTACATGCCTAGGGAAAACGAATGTTGTATGCCAGTGAGCTAGTAAATTGCTCCTCCTGGGGGTTTCCTGATGGGAAAGGCGTTGGTCCAGATGCCTGCCGCCTGCACCAGTGTGGGACCGTGTCTGCGCCCTCCTCTTACTGCCCAGCCCACCTCCAGCTCACCTCCGCAGGGACGGCCTCGGGTCAGGCCCATGCCATCTCTCCCCTTACTGCCACGCTAGCTTCCCACTGCTCTCCCGGCTTCTGGTCTTTCCACTCCCATCTGTTCTCCAAGGTACAGCCAGAGAGATCCTTCTAGAACTCAAACCTGATGTCTCAATCCTGCCTACAATTCTGCAGTGCTCCCAGGATTAATCCTTCACACTGGGACCCTCCTGCAGGCCTGGCCAGGTCCCCTCCTACCAGCCCACTCTCCGACCCGCATCTCTGGTGTTGGTTTTTGAACTCCTGGGCCCAAGAGATCCTCCCACCTCAGCCTCCTGGGTTAGCTGGGACTACAGGTGTGCACTACCACACCTGGCTAGTTTTTTTTTTTTTAACTTTTTGTAGAGATGGGGGTCTCACTATGTTGCCCAGGCTGGTCTCAAACTGGCTCAAGCGAGCTCCTGCCTCGGTCTCTCCAAGTGCTGGTACTATAGGTGCCGCCACCACCATGCCCAGCTCTGGGCAGCTTTTCTCCTAGTTGATGGCCCAGGCCAACGTCCCCTTCTCTGGCTTTCCTTTAACCTTCCACTTCTTGTCCTGCTGAAAATATTCTCTCGATATTCCAGGGCTTGCATCTTTCCTCTCTGAATGCTTCTCATGTCACGAACTCCTAGACTTCACGGTCAAAAGGCACCCTTTGAGCCTTCTTGTTCAATCCCTCCTTCGGTCCACTCTGTGGCTGATTCCCCATCTCATGCTCTCCGGGAGGGCTGGCGAATCTGCTTGCATAGCTCTGGTGACAGGGAGCTCACTCTCTCCAGAGCAAGCATCTTTCAGCGTGGTACCTCTGGAGAGCCAGACTGAGGAGGACCACCGTTGGGAATAAGCTTCCTGGCTGGGCATGGTGGCTCACACCTGGAATCCCAGAACTTTGGGAGGCGGAGGTGGGTGGATCGTTTGAGCCCAGGAGTTCAAGAGCAGCCTGGGCAAACATTGCAAAACCCTGTCTCTACTAAGAACAATAATTAGCTGGACGTGGTGGCATGTACCTGCAATCTCAGCAGTTTGGGAGGCTGAGGTGGGCAGATCGCTTGAACCTAGGAATTCGAGACCAGCCTGGGCAACATGGCAAAACTCCACCTCTACTAAAAATAAGAAAATTAGCCGTGCGTGGTGGCGTATGCCTGTAGTCCCAGCTACTGGGGAGGCTCAGGCAGGAGAATCGTTTGAACCCAGGACGGGGAGGTTGCAGTGAGCTGAGATGGTGCCACTGTGTTCCAGCCTGGGTAACAGAGCAAGACTGTCTCAAAAACAAAAATAAAGAAGTTTCCTCCCACCAGCCTCTATGCTTGGTTGGGGTCTACAGGGGTCTCTCAGAAAAGGCGTGGCTCCGTCCCCTGGCCTTTCTTTCTTTCTGGTCGGCCCTTGAGAGCTCCAAGGACAGAACCTACAAATACCCCACAACCCTTCCCTCTTCTCATCTTTTCGTGTCCCAGATTCCTGAAATTAATCCTCTTGCTCGTTGTCCAGTGGTGCTGCTGTCTTTCCCTGCTACCCCAAGATGAGGAACGTCTCCGAACCCCATAGTTCCTTTTGTGTTAGAGCCCCTCCCTGTCCTGGCCATGGAGCTGTCTCTGAACAAACTCCAAGGAGCTGTTTTCTTTACAGTGTGGCTTCCAGTCTAAAATGGAATTTCCAGCCGGGCGCGGTGGCTCACGCCTGAAACCACAGCACTTTGGGAGGCCAAGGCGGGCAGATCACCTGAGGTCAGGAGTTCGAGACTAGTCTGACCAACACGGTGAAACCCTGTCTCTACTAAAAATACAAAAATTAGCTGGGCGTGGTGGTGGACACCTATAATCCCAGCTACTCGGGAGGCTGAGGCAGGAGAATTGCTTGAACCCGGGAGGCGGAAGATGCAGTGAGCTGAGATTGTACCATTGTACTCCAGCCTAGATGACAAGAGTAAAATTCCGTTTCAAAGAAGAAAAATAAATAAATTTAAAAAACGGAATTTCCCAGGCATGGACTCATTGCTGCCAGTGAGCAGAATCACCACCTTCTTCATTCTAGAAACTGTATTTCTATTAATGCAGCCATATCAGGCTATTAATTCTGGCTGAGTTGTTGGCGAGAACTCGCCTCTACCACTTACCACCCTTTCCTGAAGGCATGACTTTACAATTCCCCCAAAACCTGTGTTTCTTCAGCAGCTACAGAACTAACATTTATTTAGGCATCTTTTTCTTTTTTTTTTTTTGAGATAGGATCTCACTCTGTCACCTAGGCTGGGGTGCAGTGGTGCAATCATAGCTCACTGCAACCTCTACCTCCTGGACTCAAGTGATCCTCCTGCTTCAGCCTCCTGAGTGGCTGGGACTACAGGCACACTGCCATACCCAGTTAACTTCTGTATTTTTTATGGAAATGGGGTCTTGTTAAATTGCCCAGGCTGGTCTCAAACTCCTGACCTCAAGTGATCTGCCTGCCTCGGTCTTCCCAAGTGTTGGGATTACAGGTGTGAGCTACTGCGCCTGGCAACCATCTACTTTTTATTCTGGCATTTTACCTCTAATCCTCAAAACAACCTTGCAAAGGAAGCATTAGCTAAATTCCCTTCCTTTCTTTCAAAAATTTTTAATATATTTTAAATCATGGTAAAATACACAAAGCATAAAATGTACCATCTTAACCATTAGCATCCTTTTCAGTAGCGTCAAGGATGTTTACGTGGTTGTGCAATTAATCTCCAGAATTTTTTCATCTTGCAAAACCAAAACTTTGTACCCATTTAACAACAACTTCGTATTTCCCTCCTCCCCTCATCCCTGGCAGTCACCGTGGAACTTTCTGTTTCTCTAAAGCTGGCTCCTCCTGAGACTTCATAGAGGCGGAATCATTCCGTCTTTGTCTTTTTTTGTGACTGGCGTATTTCCCCTGGCATAATGGCCTCAAGGTTCATTTTTCTTTTGATTTTTTAATGACCAAGAAATTTAAGAGATTAAGAGACCCGTCAAGGCCACACAGGAAATACCAAGTTAATAACTGAACCCATGTCGTTCTGGAGTCAGCACCTGTCCCTACGGTCCTGTCTGGTGTCTCCTAAGACTGGGGTTCACCGAGTGGCTTTGGCACCTTGAGAAGTACGTTTGCTTTGCCAAACTTCTTAGGTACCTGGGACTGTCTCTCAGACCACAGAGAGCCTGTTCCAGACAGTGCACTGATATTCACAGGATAAGGCTCTCCCGTTTAACAAACCAGGCTCTCCTGTTGGGTACATTAGATTGTCCAAAAGAGCCATCTAAAGGCAAGGTATGCCCAGGACTGGCCTTGAGCGGAGAGGGGGAGTCGGTGGACACTTGAGAAATAGGAATAGCGATCTGTGATGAAGGTAACTCCTTCCCGTAACTGCTTTTTTTTTGAGACAGATTCTTGCTCTCTTGCCCAGGCTGGAGTGTGGTGGTGTGATCGGCTCACTGATTCTCCTGCCTCAGCCTCCTGAACAGTTGGGACGACAGGTGCATGTCATTGCACCCGGCTAATTTTTGTATTTTTATCAGAGACGGGGCTTCACCATGCTGGCCAGGCTGGCCTCGAACTCCTGACCTCAAGTGATCCACCCACCTCAGCCTCCCAAACTGCTGGGATTGCAGGCGTGAGCCTGGCTGGGGGATCACTTTCTTTTCAGAGCAACAGCAGCACTGGCTAAAGCAAAACGTTTTCCTGTTCTGTGGGGTCCTTGTGGGAGGAAGGGGTTTGGGGACGGCTGAATTTTCCAGGCAGCAGAGTGTTTAGAACCACCCAACACCACGTACCTAATTATGTGCCAGACACTGTGCTGGGTACTTGCCACAAGGCCTCTCTGAGAACCAAGTGTCAGCCAAAAGGGGGCCGTCGGCTGATAGCCCTCGTTGGAGCAAGTGGCTGTGACCCATGAGAACGTGGTGGTAAGGAACTCTCCTAGGATAACACCATGGTAAGATGTCTACGCTGTCACGGATGCCACAGCTACACAGACGGGTGTTTAGAGACGGAGTAAGGAAAAGGAGACAGTTACCACTTTGGAGGGGATGTTCACCATGGGATGTCTGAGATGCTGGAACCACATCAAAGACTTTGCCAAGGAAATGGTTCCTGGGACTTTTTATGTCTTTTCCTACTTCTCACGACATCAGAAGCAGCATCAACATTGAAAGCTGTCAGTAAAAAATGGAAGGATAACCGGCCTTCTAACTTCGGGTGACACACCTTCCAAGATGCCAGAAACGGGCCCGCTAGTGTGGGTTTTAGGACTAAAAGCGTCCAGGGTCCTACCTGGTTTGCCCTTTCAAGGTCCGTCATGATCATTTCAATCTCGTCGGCCCTAGGAGGGTGAGAGGGAGAGAGCAGGTTAGTCACAAGGAGACCGGCTCAGTGGGTGACTGAAGGGACAGCTTCCTAGCTCAGGGCTCGGGAAGGGCTATGTGGAACCATGAGTCAATGCTGTCCAGCAGGAGGAGGTGGGCTCGCACTGGGGGAAGAGATGTGCTTGCTGATGCTATGCACTCTTTTGATAATCACGTGTCTGGTGCACATGGGCTGCCTGCCTTTGATGGAGTCCCAATCTCACTGGGGAGACAAACCCATAAAAATATAAAATCCACCTTGTCCTCTCAAGGGTTCAAAAAGAGCTCTGAGAAGAGTGCTCTGAAAAACAGAGAGGGAGAAATAAATTCTCTTTGTGGGAGGGAATCAAGGAAGGGTGCAGAGGAGGTGACAGGTAAGTGGGGTTTTGAAGGATGAGTAGAAGTTTGCCAGGCTGGGGGTGAGAGGAGGAGCCGGGGAAAGGCTACTTTAGGAAAAGGCACTTGGCAATGAAAGCCTCACCAGGAATGAGGAAACCAGGAGAAGGTGGTCAACTGGAGATAAGGAGGGCAGGTGAGGATGGAGACACAGG